CTACGTCCACCTGAAGCTCGGCCAGCGCGGCATCGCCGTCATCGCCTCCACGTGCCACATAGTCGCCTACATCATCATCTCCCAGCACCCGCCCTACCCGGCGCTGGTGGCCGCCTTCGTCGTCGCCGGCTTCGGTAACGGCCTGAGCGACGCCGGGTGGAACGCGTACATTGGCAACATGGCGAGGGCCAACGAGGTCCTCGGCTTCTTGCACGCGTTTTATGGTGTCGGCGGCGTGATTGCCCCTTTGATTGCTACGACTATGATTAACAAGGCGAACTTGGGTTGGTGGAACTTTTACTACTTCATGGTGAGTACCAGACACCTCTCACCCTCTACCCATTCTCTGTAACGAAGAGAGTATCTGAGCGTTTCACATTTTCTAACTCTACGACAACGTCCCCAGCTCGGCCTGGCCTCCATCGAGCTCGTCTGGTGCACGGCGGCCTTCTGGACGCAAACCGGCGCAGTCTACCGCGAGCTGGTAAGCCACTCCCGCAGCGACAACGCCGGAGGCGGCCTCCGCGCCGCTCTCCTCAAACGCCCCTACGCCCGCGTCACCTGGCTCTGCGCCCTCTTCCTCCTCGCCTACGTCGGCACCGAAGTCTCCCTCGGCGGCTGGATCGTGCAGTTCATGATCCAAGTCCGCAAAGCCAACAACTTCGACTCGGGCATGACCTCGGTCGGCTTCTGGCTGGGCATCACCCTCGGCCGCGCGGTCCTCGGCTTCGTGACCCCCAGGCTGGGCGTCAAGCTCGCCGTGTCGGTCTACATCCCCATCGCCATGGCGCTCGAGCTGGTGTTCTGGCTCGTGCCGCACTTTTACGTTTCTGCCGTGGCGGTCGCGCTTCAGGGGTTCTTCTTGGGTCCGTTTTTCCCGGCCGTTGTCGTCGCCGCGACGAAGCTGCTGCCGAGGCATCTTCATGTCAGCACCATTGGTTTTGCGGCGGCGTTTGGCGGTAGCGGGGCGGCGATCTTGCCATTTGCTGTCGGCGCGCTGGCGCAGGCGAAGGGTGTGCAGGTTTTGCAGCCGATCATTCTCGCCTTCTTGGGGATCATGCTCGTGTTGTGGCTGTGTCTGCCGAGGATTGGACATAAGCAGGAGTAAGGGGAGTGGGAAGAGATTAGGTGGAAAAGGAGACCGGGTATATCGTAAATATATGCGCAAAGTGTGGCCTTCTGAAAGAGACATTGCAACTCAAGTCTACCTCGGAATGAGGATGTCCAGATGTACTTTGCATCATATTTGGAGATTGAAGGTCTTCATACCACGAAAAACAAAAAGTCGAATAGAATTCAAATCTGCTTGAGCGGTACTACTTGAGACTTTATTGGCGTAACAAGAAGAAGAGGTGGTTATAACATGGGCAGTGTGGCAAACCAGAGCTGGACAGGTTAACTTCGCGATAAACAAGTACGAATCACACGGTGAACTAGAAAAGCAGCCTGCGTTTTTACAAATGTATAGTAAGAAACACTTAACTACTAATCGAAATGCACTGCAAGACAGGAGGTTTATGTGAGTGGTTTGCCTGATTCGATTCACTACAACCAAAGTTCATCTTCTTGGGATTTGCGTGCGCTGACTGAAGCCTGCTTGATTCTGGATGTGCAATGTCACCTTGGATCCATGTCCAGCCAAGAGAAACATTTCAGAATTGTCAGTTGGCCAGGATGCATGATTCACTTTGACAGGAATATTGGCAATGCAGTATAAACGATTCAAGTGTGGTAGTATCATAAAGAACCTAAGGTCAATTGAAGTGTAAAAAGTAGCGGCAGAGACATAGGAACAAAGGGAAGGAAAAGGAAATCGCAGCATTGAAAAGCTGGCATACGGAAAGTTTCATGAGTGACCCAGACTCGAACAAAGCAAAAAGGCCGGCCAGCGCCGGGAATGTCTCACTCCACCGGAAGCAAACGCATCCCAGAAAATTCGGGGCTCCTGCACTCCGGGATCGGCACCGTCGGCCCGCTCCGACTCGGAACCGTGTCGGGAAACCTGCACTGCATACTGCCAATCGCGAAACACCTCACACTTTTTTTTGTCCCAGACACAGCAGTGTTGTCGCCTTGTCTCACACGCCCCTCTCTAGAAACTACATCAGTTGAGTTCAACGTCGCCCAGAAGACTTCCCCGCGATCTTCTTCCCAACCACCTCTTTTCCGGTCCGACGGTTCAATTTCGCCCACCCGCACAGACGGCAGGAATAAGAGGGGTGAGATATCGACGATTCCCATTTGACAGCTGATAAGGAGGGAAAACCAAACCAACATCTACTCACAACTTTCTTACAAGCACTGGATATCCTCAACAAGGACAAAACGCAACAATTGGGACAAGATGGGTTCCCAACCAACAATAGATATGGATTTTGTAGCTCTTCCTAAAATCGAGGTATATTTTCAAGAGAACCCTTACGGATATGAGACCTATAGCTATGAACAGCCTCATCTGACACCATCACAGCTCCACGCCCACTTGACGGGCAGCATAAGCCGTCGCACACTCCACGACATCTGGGTCGTTAAGCACGAGGCGGGAGAAACGGACCTCGAGGATCCCCTCGTCGTGATGCCGGACGGCAAACACGACTACGACCTCACCACGTAAAACCTAACCTCACCTTTACCTCTCTAGAACCTCAACTCCCTGGCTTGGATGACTAACAAACACACTCGGCACACAGCTTCTTCCCCCTCTTCTCATCCTACATCTACAATCTCATCACCGACGTCGACACCCTCCGCAAAGCGACCCTCTCCGTCCTGCAAGACTTCCAAGCAGACGGCGTAACCTACCTCGAACTCCGCACCACCCCGCGCTCCCTCCCCTCGCCGACCCCCCAGCCGCCGTCCGTCTACGTCGCCATCATTCTCTCCGCGATAGACGCTTTCGAGGCCTCTTCTAGGGATAACCCAAACGCCATGCGCACCCGCCTCATCCTCTCCGTCGACCGCCGCCACACCCCATCCCAAGCCCACGAAACGGTCCGCCTCGCAGCTTCCTTCCGCGACAGGGGCGTCGTCGGCGTGGACCTCTGCGGCGACCCGGCCGCCCGCGTTCACACTGGCCAGGACGATGACTCTGAAAACATCTCCATCTTCCGCCACGCCTTCGCCGAAGCCCGGACCCTCAACCTCGGCATCACGATCCACTTTGGCGAGGCAGAGTGCTCCGGCCACCCGGCGGAGCTTGCCGAGATCCTGTCGTGGTCGCCGCGCCGGCTGGGCCACGTGATCCATCTCGGCGAGGACGTGAAGCGGGAAATCGCCAAGCGTGGCATCGGGCTCGAGCTGTGTCTCAGCTGCAACGTTCACGCGGGTATGGTGACGGGCGGGTTCGAGGGCCATCACTTTGGGGAGTGGTGGGGTGTGGAGGGGAGCTTGATATCTCTGGGCGTACGTTCCTTTTTCTCATGGTTCTTCTTCCCTCTGAGGCCTCCAACTCCGTTTTTGAGAACCTTTTCGCGACGCTCATCTGTTGTTCAAAGGGCAAGGCATGTTAGCTAACTCTCAAAATCAAACCAGACCGACGACGTTGGCGTCTTCGGCAGCCCGTTGTCCAACGAGTACAGGCTGGTAGCGGAGCACTTCAAGCTCTCCCGCGACGAAATCTGCGCCCTCGCCCGACGGGGCATAGAGACCATCTTTGCCGACGAGACCGAGAAAGAACGTCTCCGGCAAGTAATGTGGAAACCTGCCGTCACCACTACTGTAGCTGCTGCTCAACAATAAGCAAGTGCCGTATCGCATCGATGAACCGAGTAGACCGACAAACGATCTAGCAAAGGGACCTGCAGACGTTTTAAAGGGCCATATCGAGATAGCGATTGTCGACAACTTCGTCAACAAACAATTTCCTGGGATGGAAATTTCGGTCCAACCCGGCGTCTATTAGGATACCCATATTCAACTTGTTCTTGTACCGGTCCTTGCACCGGACCGGTACAAGACACCGAGGGCCGGACGTTCGCTTTCGAATTTCCAGATCGGGGTCGAGCGAGAGTCTTCGTGATGCTGCCCGCTATGCCTGCCTGAACGTCTTGCCGTGTACGAGCCGAAGTTTTCCGTAGGCTCCCCCGTGAGATGGAGAATGATTGGGCAGTTCGGCAAAGCGTTGACTTGGTTGCTTCTCAATAGCAGAGAGGTAGATCTTGTGTTTAATGAAGTTTCCCTCGGCTCAACCCCCCTCTCGAGTACTTTGTCTGCCATACGGGCGGGCGGCCGGGTAGGCAGGCCAATCGACTGCCCGCCATGAGTTAGAATCGATATGGCCGATTCGCATCAAAAGCAGCAATCTACGGAGACCCGCCTTGATTAGCTTTGCTTTCGGCACCTTGCAACTTACCGAGTAACACTGTTCGTGGGGTCCCATTTTGATACTCGGTGAAATCTGGCCGGACCGGGCCTGGGCTAGCCTGAATCTGGGTTGGTCCAGCTTCCGTTCATTCAGATTTGTAATTCTCCCATTGTGACCAGAAGAAAGATTCTAGCGAGAGATTTCGATCGTGCTATTGTCTGCTGCTTCGTAACAGACGTTCAACGCCTTTAGAAACGTACTGCACTTCACCAGTACTAGGAATGCGGCTGGCTATCCCAACAAGCTTTTGATGGTAGGAGATACGCTATGCTGAATTGAGGAATGACTCTACAAATAGCCTTACGAAACTCTAACAGTGGCTTCCGTTAAGTCTACCAACTCTACCGAGTCAATGCTTTCGAAGCACGATGCAGTAGTTCGCCATCGTGTTAAAGGCAGAGTCCGGAATCGTTGATACTGTATTACTGATAACCAGGTCTGTGCAGCAAGTAGGTGCTACAAGTAGGCAGACGCATGTAATGCCCAAGTCGAGACGGCGTCTTACATAATTGTCCAAGCGTGCAAGCTACGTTGGCATCCCTTGAACATGGAGGCGTGGGAGGCTGTCTTTGGGAAGCAAGATCTGTTAGATGGTTCCCGCTAGACCGAACGAGCGTTTGCCAGCAGCAAGGACGTGTCAAGCTGCCAGGAGGGTCCTCCTCCTCGCCCTGTGCTGTTGAGGAGAGGGAGGCAAGCATACCGCCCAAGTCGTAGGGCTAAGAAACGGCAAAATGTCTCGTCTGCTGCAGCCTCGAGGCTTGGTGGTGGTCCTGCTTGTCAAGTGTGCCACACTTTGGCCCTCACTGCCTCGGCCCTATGGAGAGTGGCAGAAGTATGGGTTGGCATTTTGTTGTCCAACATCGTCGTACTAGGCCCGCGCACTCCGCGGACTGCCTTACAGGAGTATACTCCGGAGGCAGATTTGCGAATTGTGAGTAATAAACCATGGCACGATCTTCATTCGTCTTAACTTTCGTTGAGACGACACACAGACCTCGTCGATTTCCTGGATCATCGACGGGAGCCAGACGAGATCCGTCATGCCACCCGTAGGAAAGGTGATCCCGGCGTCGAAATGTGAAACGGCTAAACATGGAGCCAGAAGTACAAGAAAGCATCTTTCAAAAGGCAGCGACCCTAGGATAGGTAGCTCAGAGCATTGGGGTTATCACGGGGCGAGGATCCGTACCAACGTTCAATGCAAGTGTGAAAGAGACAAAGGGGGAATGGCAGTGACTAGAAGCGTGTAGCAAGCGGATTCTATCCGTGATCCCGGGTGGAATAGGAGCCCGTGCGTCTCCCGCCCAGCGGAGAAGACTGATCGGCGGCCGTCGAAGATATCAAAGGTGCCGATAAGGATACTTACGACGACATGTCCTGACTCTGGGCAATGTACCCCGTTCTATAATCTCGTGTGTCTATCAATACCCAATGACCAACTGGTCCGTCATCAAGTAGGTTTGCGGAGATACACGAATTCCTGCGGAATCTATATTGAGCCCTCGCCGAGCTGGAACGGGAGCGAGGCAGTGAATCTGCTTGTCGGTGACGTTGACTGCGACACATCTGTCAAAGCTTCGACCTGGGCAAAATCGAACAATTGGCTGTCAGATTCGGTCTCTTTCGATCCATCTTGTAACATGCTTCGCGAATCAGATGAGCTGCCATCATGCGCCATTGTGCTTCGATGGAGGCCTTACCAACCCAAATTCGGTATGGGGTCGAACTTGGACTGCCGATGTACCGCACAGTGCGAGCGAGATTGAGGGTTGCTTTCTGATATTCGACATCGTCTGGCGTCAGCAGAGGTATGTAGTTGTATTTAGCGTGTAAGCTAGGTACGCCATACCTGTTATGCGCCTGGCCAGTCCTGTTCACCAGGAGAGCGTATCCGGGCGGCAAAATGACATCGCCGGCGGATATGACACTGCCGTAATTCGCCTAGTCACACGATTTGTCGGTGGCACTATAAGAGGCTCTTTAGATGCTGGGGCTGCCGGGCTCCAGTCTCTCAACATGAAGGAAATATATAGCTGAAGCCTAAACCGCCTAAGGTGGCACAAAAACAACACGACATTCCACAAGGTTACTCTTAGGCTAGTGAGAGGTGGCGCAAGGTTGAAGCAGAACACGGGTACCAACAGCGATGGGCGCCCATACCAAACACAAGGATAGGAGCGTCGACTTACAGAAGTCTCAAGGGATAGCTGTTGAACACCAAAAAAAAAAAAAAAAAGAAGGAGATGCGTGGTTTCGTGCTCTCTACATCTCAAGCGACGATGTATGAGTGTCTAGTATATATGTAGGCTCATCGATTTGGTTTGATGCCTTTTTGCTCTTCAGAGGAGACATGAGACGCGATTTGGCACTGCCTGTACTTTCCCGAAAAGTACCGACAGTTGGCTATTCCGCGCCTGGTATGGGGGCGCAGGATTCGGCAATGATGTTAGACGACGCAAGGGTAAAAGAAGTCAGAGTTGGGTGTCCGTCTGGAATCGTACGTATACCGTCGCCGTGACTAAAGTGCAAACGGCATCATCTACTAATCATGTGTTCCGTCTGCAAAGTAAAAAAGTGGCAGTGGGGGCGGCATGCTTGGAGTGTTTATGCTGACATCGGTTTGATGGTTTTGATATCGGCATGCTTGCTTCGCTCATATACGATCATCGACACGGACCAATACAGTGAGTAAAGGCGAGACATTCTCTTCCTCTGACCTCAAAAAGAAGCAACGCCGGAAGCTTGGGGCTAGTGATGGCACCGGCTGGCTTGAGAGCGAGAGCTTGGGCCGCCCACCCTACTGGAACCACCGGAAGATGACCCTGACGGGTGATGGGAAAGCTTCGTTGCGGATACATCCTCAAAGCTTCGACAACGAGAGGAAAGGGCCGTTGTCAATACAAGGCGGCACTGGGGTCGGCGATGCGGCGACAGATCTACCGAAGCGTCAGGCCGTGATCTGTAATGGTTACGACAAGGTCTGACTTGAGATGAGATCGAGCGATTGGGACGACGGCAAAACTGGTGATGTCGGAAAAGCAAAACAGCCAGAAGGGAGCGAGCTTAGCTTGCTGGGCTGCTGTGTAACAAGGGGAATAGATGGGTGGTTCGCCCAATCATCCGAGGGCCCCGGTTGACTGACGATGACGGCTCCCACCCGCGCAGCGACCCGGCAAGGAAGTGATTGGTCTTCTTGTCTAGGTATGCCTTTTGCCCAATTCGTGATTGTCGCCACCTGACATCTGGGGATTTCTCGAACAAACGTTTGAGTTAGATCTGCACTTGGACCAAGGGCTCGTCATCATCGTTGTTCTGGCCCTGATCCTCGTTCCAGCCCTAGGTAGTCCCTCCAACTGGAAAGGTATACCGGTAAAGAGATGAAGACTGTGTTGATGGCTGTAGCTACCTTTCTGGAGGATAAGGTTTTCGGATGGTTCGCCGAAAACTTTGCCAACGTCCAGCAGACTCGGTGTGCTCAAGTCGCATGTTGCCCGTCCTATTTAGGTTTCGAGTTCTGCCATCGATTTCCTTGCTGAACCCTAATGCTGCTGGGCATTTCTGGCTACGTTGAGCTGGCAACCGCTGATCGCTTCCAGAGCGAGGCCTAAGCCTTTCGAGCAAGCATCGTGGATGGTATCTGTCAGGTTCAAACGAAAGAGCAATACGGTTCAGCTACTAGCGACGAGAGGCGAGGGGTAGATGTTCGTAGTCGGAATGGTTCTATTTGGCAAGCGCTGCCGATGCGGCTTGCGTATCCCCGCCTCCCAGAGGCTGTATTCTGGCATTGGCTGTGTCCTGGTCGTATGTGGTCCGCTGAAAGAAAAGGATAAAGAGTGCGTCAAGAGAAGACGCTCTCGGGAGCAATAAATATGTCAGCGTCCAAAATGCCCTAACCACAGCGACTGAGTTCAGATCAGAACTGCAGGACTCCGTAGGGTAGCGGCGATTTACGAATATTCGTCTGCTTGGTGAGGTGATGTGGACGTGGATTGGGAAACGTGGTGCACAGGTCGCGGAACAGCCGGTGCAAAGAGTGGTGGTAGTGTAGGTAGATATTCGTACGTCTGCTTCGTACGGATAGTTAGTTGCTCGATCAGCAGCCTATCAGGGATGTGCCAACATAACTGGACCCGACTGCATGCTGCAGTGCTGCACAGAATTAGATGGGAAGTCGGTACCTGAGACTCTAGATACGGCCTAGTGTCTGTATCCAATCTACTTTTTATGCAATGCATCTTAGCTAGAGCGACCCACATTGCAAGGCACCCTACAGGTGAAGTGCAGCTCACTGTGAGAGAAACAACGGGTCATCTGAGTGGTCTGTGACTCTTGCGATAGATAGTACGACTTCGCTTACTGATGGGATCGCTGGCTTTCGGGTTGGCTGGTCGTCTGCTGATTCTTTGTGTCCGAACTGGATACCGTGCGGTTAAGGTAGCCGAGAAGCGCAAGCGCAATGTCCGCAGCTTGCACTTGGAAAGCGAAAGGGTGGGGGGGGGGGGGGGGGGGTGTGGGGTGGAGGGGGGGGGGCGGGCGGTGGGGGGGTGGGGGGGGCGGGGTGGAGGGGGGGGGGGGGGGGGGGGGGGGGGGGGGGGGGGGGGGGGGGGGGGGGGGGGGGGGGGGGGGGGGGGGGGGGGGGGGGGCATGTTTGTGCGAATGCGTAATACCGGAGGATCAAATTCTTCTGTCAAATAATACATGGGTGTATCGAGCCGCAGTGTTCCCCAAAGGAGATAAGACTGCCGAATATCTGGTCGTAGTTCATGATTGTCTCCATTGATCAAGCACAACGTTGTCAGAAAGGCAAGACGAGTATGAATTCTGTAGCATATCAGCGTTGATACAGCACCAAGCAAAAGTATAGAGACCGACCGACTTACCCTTGTGCGTAATCGAGATGGTGTAGGCAATCACCGCCTCTGTGCATTCTGCGGCTGCGAAAGAATGATATGAGGGTGATTTGGGCAAATCCCGTTTTGCTTTGCCGTTCAGATGCAAGGTTGGCTGCTCAGGGCAGGAGAGAAACAAAAGTAGACCAAAGGCGTCGAGCATCCAGGCGTCAAGCGTCGTGGTTGCATGTCGCCAAGAAAGGTTGGAGGAGGAGAAGCCTTGGGAGGGAGGGTGCGCAGCCGGTGCGGCGGCTCCTTCTCCACTTTCTGACGCGGGAGGGGCGGTACGTACCGTGGGATGACTGACCAATGACAATCCCAGTCTGCCGCAGCTTCCCATCTGGAAACACTCCCGACAGGGGTTAAATGAGTAAATGAAGGTGCACTGTGCTTTTCTTCTTTTCAATGTCACTCAGATGGCAGGAGCCGATACGCCTTTTCCTGCTTCCGCAGCCAATCTTTTGCCCGGGAATCAATTGTTGCCTTTTCTTACTTACTTCTGTCTGGACAGGATATACTTTCATCAGGAGAGATGCTTTTTGGGAAGAACCCATGTATGTATTCATACGGTTGCATAGGTATTCTCAGGTAATAACATCAATGGTAAGGCGGTACGGATACTTGCCAGAGGTATGATGTTGCATCAAAAGACGAGGTAAAGGATTGAATGGCGCGATAGGGAACACTGCAAAAGTCAAAATCTTGACCGAGGTGCCCGTGCGCCATTCAAGGCGGGAAGAAAACGTCCAATAGTATTATCCGCACCTTTGTTTGGCCTTTTGCGTTGCCTGTCGACTGCGTGAGTGAATACCTGAAATCCAGGCATAATTATGTGCCCAAGAAAAGTTGAAAGCGAAAAGTGAGGCGGGAAGTATCAGTCTACCTACCTTACGCTGTGCCGGTCTGACTATTCGGTGTGGGGGATTGGGATTCCAAGAGAGCACAACAACTGAACGTAGATCCGTGATCCGTCCCTTCAGGTTGTTATTGTTGTGTGTAAGTAGATGATGGCGATGGCGAAAAGGTTGACGGGTCCTGTAACGCAGGTGTCATGAGTTCAGGTAGGGACCCCAAATCTACAACTCTAGATGCCTTAAGCTACCGCACTGAACCCTGCTTCTTCTGCTTGCTCGATCGGGACCTGGGTGTCTTAGTCTTGGGTCGCCCATGCACGCAAGCCGCAGGCGGCAGCACACGTAACTACTAGGGCATATCCAACAACAGGCCGGCATGCCATATGAGGCTTAACCAG